TTTTTTTTTTTTTTTTTTGGGCACAGAATCAAATGGCAAAAGAGATGAAATAAGTTAAAATAAAATAGAAAGAGCGATTAAGTGAGTAGAAATGAGCCTATAATATATACCAGCCCTTAAAATATGGAGTTTTTTTGTGGTTGTTCATACTGATATTTTATGTTGATGGTGTGTGAATCCTAATTGAGCGGAATATGTATACTATGGAATTTGATCTGAGCTACAAGGCTCTTAGGAATAATGTTGCAACTTGAGGGGTAAGGGGTGGATTGCACAGAGGAGTTATAATGGTTCACTAGCTCAGGAGCTCGACTAATTCACTCTGTAATGGAACCTCTTGCTCCTGAGAATTATATTGAAGACGAAGAAAAGATTACACAGGCTTCTTGGTCCTATTTTTTATTGCTTGCCTCAAACTGAGGATTTTGTATAATATTTACAACTTAATTCCTAGTTCCCTGGGGTCCGAGGCAAGATCTTCACCTCTCTCTTGTAACGTTTTGTTTGATTTCAGGCGAGGGTTTAGGCGGTTGAGGTTATCGCGCCTAGACTAGCGTTTAATGCCGTTGAGGGGGACGTTTAGTGGTTGTTAGCTAGCTTCCAATTATTTTCTTTGAGGTACAGGTCGAGGGAACCCAAGGTCTGGACCTCTGAACTCGGGCTTTCTTGGCTGAGCTCCCTTCTTAACCTTAATACTTGAGCTCAGACTTAGAATTCTTTTAGGTATCACTAGTTGCCCTCTAGTCCCTGGTCAAAGTGGCTTTGAGTGGGTGTTGAGCTGCGATTGGGTTGAGTTAGGTATCCTTAGGTCGACCTCGATTTGCACGTGATAGGATTCCATTCTAACGGTTTTACCAAACGTGCAATCATTCCTTCCTTGTTTCTCGCACACATCCCATATTTCGAAGGCCCGTGTACACTGAGCTTTAAATGCTCCGACAACGAGGTAAATCGTCTCTCTTCACCTTTCGACTTCTCTCTACAGGCTTTGCTCCTTTTCTTCCCTTGCGATTTTGGTTTCCTCAATCGGCTAAAGATCTTAGGGTTTCAATGGAAAACAAATTCCTCCAATTTGACTTGAAGATTCTATGAGGCTTGCTCTTCGATTAAGCTTCGGGCTTCGATTTATCGCTCGCTCTTGGTTAGGTATGCTTCTCGGCTCTATTCATTTCTTTGTTCTGGATCCCTAAGATCTGAGGTGGTTGCTGCATTTTTAGACCTTTCATTTTTACTACTTTAGGAATCGAGGTTACTCCTTGTCCTCCCTTCCCCTCTTTTTGGACCCTTATTCCACAGATAGAGTCTTCTTTATTGGTCATTGGAGTCTTCACCCCTCAACTCTCAGGGATTTTTTTGCTAACGCCCATTTCCTTTTTTCTCCTTTTATCTCCCTTTTTTTCAATCCTATCATGTCTGGCTCTTCCGAAACTACTACTTCATCAGTCTCTCTTGCCATGGGCGAGAGGTCTGCTGGGGAGGAGGACATTGATTTAGGTGATGTAGGCGATGATATTGATAATTTTCTCGGTGTTGCTTTTGTTGATGTTGGAGAAGAAACCGAGGAGCTCTCCGCATCATCTTCCCTATGCCTAAGAAGTCTAGGAAGGGAAAGACTAAAGTGAGTGACGTTGGGATTTCTGGCAATGCTGGGGACACAGTGGTTGCCCTCCCCCCCGAGCTTCAGGCCTCGTGGGTTTTAGTGAGGTCACGCCCCCTTTCATAAGTTTTTTATCTGCTCGTTACGGCTTTTCTCAAGGAATGCACTATTGGTGTCCTCACGTGGACGTCAGGTACGACTCCCAAATCCATAAGAAAATCTGCTTCTTTGTGGCCGCTCTCGAGAACGGCCTTCATTTTCCAATGTACCCCTTTCTTAAAAGTGTCCTCTAACACTTCAACGTTTGTCTTACTCAACTTTTTCCCAATTTTTGGGGTATTCTGATAGGTCTTCTTGTTTTCTTCAAGAAGCACGAACTTGGAGTTCATACCACCCCTTTTCTTATGAAGTTTTTCAATGTCAAGTTCACTCCTTCTGATGAATTCTTGTACGTTTCCAAACGGGTAAAAGTCTGAGCTATCATTACTGACCTTCCAAGCTCCCACAAGCGTTGGAAGAAGCTCTTCTTCTTTATGTCAAGAAAGAGAATGGGAGTTCAATCCCGGTGATGTAGTTGACACCCTCCCTGTGCCTCGGGCTTGGTCTGCCCTAATAATCTTGGTAAGCCCTGCGAGTAAGCTTGGATCAGCCTTGATGCTTTATTCTGTTGACCTTGTTTTACTTATTTTTTTTTTGCTCTTTAGGTATTCGACCCGAGTTCATGCGAAGGATAAACTAGTTCCGCTGGGTTTAAAGGATTATGAGTCAGAGAGGTATTCCGAGCTTATTAAGCCCAAAGTGCTTACCAAATTTGAGTTTAGTCCTCTAGAGGTGAGGGTTGAGACCCCTATTCCCATTTCTGTAGCTGGAGTAGAGGAGGTGGTAGGGAACACTTCCCTCTTTTATCCTTAACTTATATTTTACTTCTTTCTTCTTTCTGATCCATTTGTTTTGGGTTTTCAGGTTCTAGCTAAAGAAAGGCAAGAGTGTGAGAAAACGCAAGGCCGAGGTTGGGTCAGGAAGTGATTCTGCCCCCCCCCCCAGCCAAGGTGCCGAGGTCAAGAATGCCTCTTGCTTCTCCCCTTTTTTCCCAAGTACTTCCTATTCGACCGTCAAGCTCACCAAAGGTCGCACAAACCTTACTTTCCTCAAGGGACCATGTCTTTCTCTCCTGGAAGGGGACTTAAGCAAATCGCATTTNTTCTCCCCTTTTTTCCCAAGTACTTCCTATTCGACCGTCAAGCTCACCAAAGGTCGCACAAACCTCACTTTCCTCAAGGGACCATGTCTTTCTCTCCTGGAAGGGGACTTAAGCAAATCGCATTTTCAACCTCTCCTTCATCGGCAAAGGTCAAGGGGGCCATGGAGACGATTGCTCGCATCCTGCCTAAGTCTTCCTCTCCCAAATCGGCTGAGAAGTCTCATTAGCTAGTTCCGAGTGACTCTAAGGTTGAAAAATATGAGGGCTCCCTTATTGAAAGTGTGAAACTTGTTGCGGAGGCCATTACCTCAATCATTCCTAAGTTTGATATCCAAAGGGCTACCACTATGGGCCTATCTACTTTTGTCACCTCAGCCTTGTATGGTGCANAGTGACTCTAAGGTTGAAAAATATGAGGGCTCCCTTATTGAAAGTGTGAAACTTGTTACGGAGGCCATTACCTCAATCATTCCTAAGTTTGATATCCAAAGGGCTACCACTATGGGCCTCTCTACTTCTGTCACCTCAGCCTTGTATGGTGTTACTTCGGTAAGTTTTTGGTTTTCTCAAGTTCCATTTTTGTCTTGCATCGTTACTTCGTGCTGAATTTAGCTTTTGGTTGTATTTGCTCCTAGATGGTCATTCATGTGAGTGGTTTGGTGAGTCGAATCAGAGCTCTGGAAAGCTCAGCCAAGGCGTCGAAGGCCTTTGAGCTCAAGGCTGTCAAGCTGGCTTTTGCTAATAATAATCTCAAAACCCAAGTTTAGGACCTATAGGCACAGGTGGAGGGGTAGTCTTCTGTTATTAAGGGTTTGGAGACCGAGAAAGAGAAAATCAAGGATGAGGCCAAGAAGACCAAGGAGTAGCTCAGGTTGAGAACTGATGATTGGGTTAAAGCTTGCAAGGATGCCTTCACGACCTTGGATTCTTATGAGGTCATGAAGAAAGAATACGACATTTTGGCTTAAGTCAACAATACTTTGCAGAGGAAGATTGAGGTTGAGAGATCTGCTATTAAAAAGAAAGATGCTCTGATTGCCAAACTGGAAGATGATGTTACCACCAAATAGGCCATTTGGTATCTTGGTTTGCAAGACAAGGCAATGCAGATGTATCCAGACCTGTACTTTAACTTTGATCCCCCTTCGGACAAGGAGGAGGAGGTGCCAAGCGTTGAGAAGGAGGTAGAGATCTTGGTTTCCCCTATTTCTGAACTTGTTCTTGGGGGCGCTGCGGTGCCTCCTTCATCAACCGAGGTCCCGGCCTTTGTGGGTACTGGGGTGTCTGCTCCATAGGCTGAAGTCCCTTCTCCTGCAGCTTCTTCTGTTCCAGCCATTGTTTCCAACTTCCCTGGGCTTCTTGAGCTGCCTAGAGCTCCTGCTACTCCTTCGTATGCTGCTACTTTCGAGGCTTTTGATCTTCTAGGGCCTCTTGAAATTTCTACTGAAATTCTTCCACCTACTACCTCAGAGCTTCCCAAGCTGCCTTGAGTGATTCCAAATCCGACTATTAGGGATTAGGACCTCTGTTCTTTTTTTGCTTTTTTTTTTAAGAAAAGAACTCTAAAACCAACTCTTTATTAGAAAATAAAGAAGAAACACGTTTGTCTTGTTGGTGCCCTTGTGTTCTTATGACTATTGTGTTCTTCCATTCTACCTACTCCCCTTTGCCCCTACTTTGAGGAGAACTTAGTTCTTCTTAAAGTGCATTTGCTAAGTTTGGATGAGCTGAATAGCTAAAGAGCTGAAGAACTATTGAGTTGAGTGGTTTAGGCCTTAACTTTGGTGGGCTCATTCTTATGAGCTGAAAAGCTTGTAAGTTGAAGTTCCCATTTTATGACCCAAAGAGCCTTATATTCCCTCGGGTTATGGAGAGCTCAACCTTCTAGAGCTAGAGAATTCAGTCTACTTTTTGCATGGGAACTCTTCCCCTAGTTATTTCTGTCGCGTTACCTGAGCTTTGCCTATATTAAGTTGAAGAGAACATCCTCGGGTAGACCTGAGCTGAACTGCTCATCTGAGCTCTATCTGGTCTGAGCTGAGTTGTTCTTTTAATGTGAAAGGTGATAATCTGATCGTTATTTGCGCCCACCTACCTTCTTAATGACTTGATTCAAAATGTGCACACCCAAGTGCAGGCGGTCAAGCTGTAGTATTAATCCGGTTAAGTCCGGAGTCGAATCCACAGGGAACTATGATTAGTGTTTTGAAGTAAGCAGTGACAGAGACCAAGTAACTGGAACCTTGAAAGATTGAAGTTATGGGATTTCCTGAATAGAATATAAGATCTTTTCAAGAGTTTTCTAGACAAAATATAAGATAAATTCAAATGTGAAACAGTCACACTTTCGCTCAAGGATCAGAATATGTAAGTAATCATCCGATTTATTATACTTGTGCTTTATAACTCAATTAACTCCCGTGTCAACAACAAGTTAATCGGAAGATAAAGATGGACTGTGTGAATTAAGCACATGATTCTGATACCTTTCCAGAAGTTTACAAGAATTGTATGTGCCAAGATTCAACCCGTCTACAAACAAGCAAGTGTTTCTACAAGGTATCCAACCATGGCGTTAATGCTCCATTCTTTAAATAAAGCAAAATAATGGTGAAGATTGAAATGTTGTCATGAGGATCTAGTCAGGGTAATTGCTTTAAACCAATGAGTCTTTCCATGGAAGAGTCATCCGTGTCATAGAAAGAACCCATAGTTATACAAAGTACCTTAGCTTTGCTAGATGCATTCAATCATTCAATAAGTGAAATATAAAACATTAAAGCATAAAGAAAATGCACAAATATAACTTTTGGATAATCAATACATGTTCATGACCTCTTACTAAAGAGTGAATGAGGAACTACTCACTCTTCATGGCTTGGTTAAAGCTAGAAAAGTGAGTAATATTCATCCCTCCAAGTAAAGGAGTTACGAAATGAAAGCACAATACACAAGGAGCCAATCTTCAAAGAAGAATGAGTGAATTACGTTCCACCCTTCATGGCTTTGGTAAAAGTTCTAGAAAAGTGGAAGAGTTTCACTCTTCTAAGAAAGACATGAACAATAAAAGTAGAAGAAAGCTAGTCACATTTGGAGGGTGGCTTCCTCAACCAAGAAATGGAGGGTTACTTCCTCAACCAAAAGATGAACTATCTCCCTTGATACAAGCAAATATATCTCTAAAGCTAGCTACATGAGTGGGAGTCTAAGCCTTCATCAAGCTCCCTATCTATCCAAGTCTCTATGAAGCTCCCACAATGGGAGTATTTATAGGCAAGGAGGAGGAGGGGGGTGGTGAAAGAATAGTGTATGTCACCCAAGTCCAAGTGAAAGCCAACCACTCNAAACCAACTCTTTATTAGAAAATAAAGAAGAAACACGTTTGTCTTGTTGGTGCCCTTGTGTTCTTATGACTATTGTGTTCTTCCATTCTACCTACTCCCCTTTGCCCCTACTTTGAGGAGAACTTAGTTCTTCTTAAAGTGCATTTGCTAAGTTTGGATGAGCTGAATAGCTAAAGAGCTGAAGAACTATTGAGTTGAGTGGTTTAGGCCTTAACTTTGGTGGGCTCATTCTTATGAGCTGAAAAGCTTGTAAGTTGAAGTTCCCATTTTATGACCCAAAGAGCCTTATATTCCCTCGGGTTATGGAGAGCTCAACCTTCTAGAGCTAGAGAATTCAGTCTACTTTTTGCATGGGAACTCTTCCCCTAGTTATTTCTGTCGCGTTACCTGAGCTTTGCCTATATTAAGTTGAAGAGAACATCCTCGGGTAGACCTGAGCTGAACTGCTCATCTGAGCTCTATCTGGTCTGAGCTGAGTTGTTCTTTTAATGTGAAAGGTGATAATCTGATCGTTATTTGCGCCCACCTACCTTCTTAATGACTTGATTCAAAATGTGCACACCCAAGTGCAGGCGGTCAAGCTGTAGTATTAATCCGGTTAAGTCCGGAGTCGAATCCACAGGGAACTATGATTAGTGTTTTGAAGTAAGCAGTGACAGAGACCAAGTAACTGGAACCTTGAAAGATTGAAGTTATGGGATTTCCTGAATAGAATATAAGATCTTTTCAAGAGTTTTCTAGACAAAATATAAGATAAATTCAAATGTGAAACAGTCACACTTTCGCTCAAGGATCAGAATATGTAAGTAATCATCCGATTTATTATAATTGTGCTTTATAACTCAATTAACTCCCGTGTCAACAACAAGTTAATCGGAAGATAAAGATGGACTGTGTGAATTAAGCACATGATTCTGATACCTTTCTAGAAGTTTACAATAATTGTTTGTGCCAAGATTCAACCCGTCTACAAACAAGCAAGTGTTTCTACAAGGTATCCAACCATGGCGTTAATGCTCCATTCTTTAAATAAAGCAAAATAATGGTGAAGATTGAAATGTTGTCATGAGGATCTAGTCAGGGTAATTGCTTTAAACCAATGAGTCTTTCCATGGAAGAGTCATCCGTGTCATAGAAAGAACCCATAGTTATACAAAGTACCTTAGCTTTGCTAGATGCATTCAATCATTCAATAAGTGAAATATAAAACATTAAAGCATAAAGAAAATGCACAAATATAACTTTTGGATAATCAATACATGTTCATGACCTCTTACTAAAGAGTGAATGAGGAACTACTCACTCTTCATGGCTTGGTTAAAGCTAGAAAAGTGAGTAATATTCATCCCTCCAAGTAAAGGAGTTACGAAATGAAAGCACAATACACAAGGAGCCAATCTTCAAAGAAGAATGAGTGAATTACGTTCCACCCTTCATGGCTTTGGTAAAAGTTCTAGAAAAGTGGAAGAGTTTCACTCTTCTAAGAAAGACATGAACAATAAAAGTAGAAGAAAGCTAGTCACATTTGGAGGGTGGCTTCCTCAACCAAGAAATGGAGGGTTACTTCCTCAACCAAAAGATGAACTATCTCCCTTGATACAAGCAAATATATCTCTAAAGCTAGCTACATGAGTGGGAGTCTAAGCCTTCATCAAGCTCCCTATCTATCCAAGTCTCTATGAAGCTCCCACAATGGGAGTATTTATAGGCAAGGAGGAGGAGGGGGGTGGTGAAAGAATAGTGTATGTCACCCAAGTCCAAGTGAAAGCCAACCACTCTGCAGTCTGTCTATAGATAACGTTCGAACATGAGTTGGCGTTCGAACGTGATTTCTATTTTTTCTTTATGGGCGTTCGAATATAGTATGGCGTTCGAACGTTTCTTCTATCTTTGCTTTATGGGCGTTCGAATGCCAGATGGGGTTTAACCCTCTCACTCAAGTGGCATGTGGTCTTCTGTGGAAACCTATTCCACACATTTATGTAGAACTTGACACTTTGCACTCATCACCCTGGTGTTCAATCAATTCAAGTGAACGTTCAAACATGGTACTCAAGTACTTCAAGGTCTTCCTTCTTGGCTACAACACACCATGTCTCAGCAATCTGGTCTTTTCATAGTTCAAGTGGACGTTCTGAGTTGGCATTCGAACGTTCTTGCTTTGTTCCAAGCTTCTCCAATTTTGTCCCCAATATGCTGGTGTTACATCCAAGTGTATTTTTGTTGTTCTTGAGCTCTTGTTCACTTTAGGACCTAAAATATCATCACTTAAACTCCATCAAAGTACAATTAGTCTTTAAAAGGCATAGTAATATGCTAAATTTAAGTACTAAACACTTACAACGCCTCCGCCGTAATGATTATGGAAACGATAAGGGCCGTCTGTCCATCTTTGCGTGTTTCTTGTGCCTTAATGGGATTCCCTATTACCTTCATAAGCTTTAGGATTCCTTATTGTCTACGAAATTTGGGGTTTCTTCTTCATCATTCAACATTCTTTTTCTGAGGCTTCCTTTCTGTCTTTCGGTTCTCATGGCTCCCTCACATCCTTGTTCAAACAGCAAGCCCAAGTCATGATTGGCATGGCATGGTACTCTACCTTCTTTCTCCCTTCTGTGCTTACATCCTCGAAGCTAGATGGAATTAAAAGGCGGTTCCTTCTATCTGCTGACTTACCTCTCCGAGTTCCTACTCCTAATGAGCCTTGCAATTATCTCTCCCCATAAGAGACTTGCTTTTTCAAAGGCACTTTCGAGGGCCTTCATCTATCCATCCATCCTTCCATTGGATGGATTCTAGCCTACCTCAGGTTGTGTCCTTCTCATCTTTCTCCAGAAGGATGGGGTACTATGATAAGATTTTTTATTTTTTGGCGTCTACAAGGTAATGATGAGTTTTCCACTGTTGTTGAGTTTCTCTACTTTTACGAACTTGACTATGACATGTCCCTTGCTTCAGTCGCTTCATGTGGAGATGCCACTTCGATCCTTCATTGGTCCTTGAAATCCATCATTCTCCTGAAGGTTGGACTCAACATTTTTTCTTCGCCTCTGGGAACTCTTGGAGATTTTTGAGCAGCAATGCGCACGTTCCCAAGTTCCTTACTTTTGGGGGCATTCCTTTGTTAGAGGTAGAGGCCTAGGATT